AAGAAGACTAGGGAAAGCACGGGCCCACTGAATAAGGTGGGGGTTGTGGTTACACAGGACAGGGAAAAAGCTGACGTGCTGAATGCCTTCTTTGGCTCAGTTTTTACTCGCAAGACCGGCCTTCAGGAATCCCAAGTTCCAAAGATCTGAGAGATAATATGGAGCAAAGAAGATAAACTGTTGGTGGAAGAGGATCACATCAGAGAGTACTTAAGCAAACTGAACATACCCAAAGCCATGCATGCTGATGGGATTCATCCAAGAGTACTGAAGACGTTGGCAGATGTCATTGTAAGGCCACTTTATCTCTCAGAAGGGTACTGCTATTTGTGCAGACATGGGACAGAGTGAAGAAGAAAAATGGATATGGCATTTTAACAGTAACAATGAGCTTAAGCTGGCCTTACTGAGATAAGTTACCTTGTGCAGTAATGATTAGACCTGTAAATAGTAAGGTCAGTAGTCTAGGTAGCAGAAATAAGGCAGTAAATGTTACTCAGACTTCAGTAACGAGCCTCATTGTCACTGGCTACATTGCCACTACAAAAACAAACAAACCAACACAAAAATGTGCTTTGTAGTTTTTTTAGTGCAAAGCAATTAACTGTTGCATGGGAAAATGTTGTGGTAGTCAAAAAGATGTAAAACACACATAGAAGTCTTGCAGTTACCCAACTGTTAATGAAAATATAAAAACTTTCTCTGCATCCTGGGATTTTGAACAAGTGCAGCACACATACAGCAGCACACGGTGGATATCCTCAGGTAAAAAACATACTACTTTTTTTTTCAATTTACACTACCATTAGAAAAAAACCCAAACTCATATACGATATTCTTAGATGAAACTTGAATACTGTGTCCAATTCTGGGCTCCACAAGTTCAAGAAAGACAAAGATCTTCTAAAGAGAGTCCAGCAGTGGGTCACAGAGATGATGGCAGGCCTGGAGCATACAAGGAAACACGAGGAAAGGCTGAGAGACCTGGGTCTCTTCAACCTGGAGAAAGCTGAGAGGGTCTCATCACTGTTTACAAATATCTAAAGCACAGGAGTCAAGTTGATAGGGACAGGTTATTTTCAGCAGCATGCAGCAATGGAACAAGAGGCAATGAGCACAAACTGGAAGATGGGAAGTTCTATACAAACACAAAGAAGAACTTCTTTGCTGTGAAAGCACTGGAACAAGCTGCCCGGAGAAGTTGTGAAGTCCTCTTCTCTGGAGATATTTAAGACCTGTTTGGACACTTCTCTGTGCAACCTGCTGTAGGGAACCTACTGTTTCAGAGGAGTTGTATGTGATGATCTCCAGAGGCTCCTTCCATGCCTACAATTCTGTGATTGTGTGATTCTTTAATTTTCTCTCCTGAGCTTATAATTCCTTTTCTTCTGCCTACTTCCAGAGTTCTTTTTCTCCCACCTGTCTTTGACTATTTCTACAACAGACTTTGCTCCCGCTGCTTGTATCTTCTATGTTTGTGTTTATTAAATCATTGTTTTCAAGTTGTGATCCATTAAAGGCATATAAAGAAATAGGAGCGTGCGTGGCAAAGTTACCTAGTCTGTAACTATAAATAATGAGCATGTATGTATGTGTTTATAATTTTGGTTCTTTTTTTTTTGTTTTTTTATTGATATTACTTGTGCAGTTTGGACAACTGAGATACCAGAAAGCGGACACATAGTGGAAGAAGGCTCAGGAGGGTTCTCAGATGTACCTGATGTACTTTCTTCATGGAGATAAGATGTTTTTAAGGCTTAGCTTTACACATGTGAGTAGTTTATTAGCCTTATCCCATAAGGATACTCTTGTGTAGTGATAAGAAAGCCTATCAAAAGAGGAAATAAAGATAATTAGTCTAGATGGAACACTGTGAACCTTAGAATAAGGAGCTGGAAGACTTCAAATGGAGAGGGTCATATCAAATCAATTATGACATGTGAAAAAGTAGACTGAGATTATTTATATTAGACACAGACTAAGTATCTTACAGTTAATGAAAGCCAACTCTCTGAAGACTTATTCCACAGCTTTGTGCCAATACTTAGATTTGTCAAGATATATAATTATTCCTCACATGAAATAAATTAAAAATTAAAAAATTAAAAACAATAATAAAAAAATAAGCATCTTCTTTTGCATATAGTTCAGAAGACTAGAGACTTCTTTGTGTGTTAGAGATATTTAACGACATTTTACATAGTACAGCTTCTAATGCAGAACACTTTGCCAGCACTAAATTAAATTCTGAATGTATGAAACAGGAATAACAAGTTCCAGAAGAGCTAAAAGTGTCTTTTATTAAATACACCCTTCCCAAAATCTTATAATATCACAATCAGAATCATTTTTGTTGGGGAAAAGAGCAAGCTAACTATCAAATAATAAAAAATTAAGCTTACTGTAATGCAAAAGAAAGCACAGCATTATCATATATCTTTCACCCCTAGCTTGCAATTCCCAGACGACCTTTTGCTAACCCAATTGCCAGTCAACACTCTACCATTTTCTATAGCCACAGGGAGGTTATCTTTCATGATTCACTCAGCCCCCCTCTCCAAAAAATCCAGAACAAAATCATCGTTTTGACTGTACTGTGTTTGCCTGCCTTCAAGTAATACACAGGGTCAGATGTTCTATATTTTCTTCCCCCATTCTTTTCTGTCATCTTTTTAAATTTAGAGATCTTAGTCCTGCCCAGCATTTTTGCCCTTCAGAATCTTCTGATGGACTTCTGTCCTACTTTCCAAAGTTCTTGACACACACAGGCAGGTAAAAGGCTGGCAGATTTTTCATTTCTCTTTCCCATTGATTTACATGAACATCTTCACGCTTTCTGCATCAATCAACAGTTGGGCAGTGAATGTACCTTTCTGATCAGCTGTTATTTGTGGCTGGTGGGGAGAACAGGAGTATTTATTCCTGTGCAGAGGAATACAGCAGCTGTCCATTGCTTCTTCAGAGACAACATACGGGGCAGTACAGGATTGCAATCAGAAATGTGAGAGAAGTCTGAGGTTCGAGAGCTTGGGAAAATGATGGAATTGATGATAGACACTCTCTTCTTACTAGTAAGTAACGTGCTCTGTGCAGCTATGAAATAAGTGCGAACAATTTTAAAATAGAACCAGCGGTATTCATCTTCCTAACTCCTAGAATCAAATATTTGTAGATGTACTACACGGTTTATGATAAAATGTCTCAATTCAAGACAATCTCATTCCAAGCCTCAGCATTTTAAGTATAAATCGAAGCCTTGTTAGCTGCACTGAGTTTCACCCACAGCACAGATCTGGCTATTGAGCACTAATATTATTTTAAATAACGCTGGTACATATAGAAAGAAGCAAAGTCTTAATAACAGGGAGTTAATACTTACTAAGAAAAGAATGGTTCAGACAAGGAGTCTTTATTTAGATTAGTTAGCACAAATTTACAGAGGCTCAACATTGTCACTGCTTTTTTCACCATATCTGGTTTCTCCAGTTTTCTCCTCTATATAACCCATCAGTACAAATCAATTAAATCAAAACTGCATTTTTATGTAATCTAGATAATGTAGCTACCATCTGAAATACTTGTAGTTCAACACTGATTCCGTTGACAATATTTAGCTTCTGGTTATATCAGCAAGCATCTAAACAATGCCCATAGTGCTGAAAACCACTTAACAACATAACCCTTGCATAACTTGTCTCCTCCCTTTTAGAAAAGTATTATTTCAATTTATTTGAATGTGGAAGCAGTACTTTTCACCCATCCTCAGTGCATTTAGCTTATGTGCAACTGTATGCATGAGCTGTCTGTTTACATCTTTCATTTGGCGCAAGATGCCAAATCCATGGTGTACGATGTTTCCATCCCATATCAGTATTATCAGTACAAGTACAGAATATTAGCATGATTTTCAGCTGGTCACGCAGCCGAATTGCTACTGATTTTAGAAAATACTTACTGAAAATTGAAAATGATGTTGATAATATCAGCCAAACTGACAGTGGTCTCATTTTAGATCCAAAAGGTAAAAGTATGCAGTGGAATGGCATCAAATTGATTCAGGTAAAGTTCAGACTGGACAGTAGAAAAAGGTTATTCACAAGAAACTGATTGGGCACTGGAACAGGCTACCTGGAGATGTGGTTATGACACCAAGCCTGCTTAAGTTCAAGAAGTGTTTGTACAATGCTCTCAGATGTAGGGTTTAAATTTTAGATAGTCAGGTGTGGAGCCAAGAGTTGGGCTTGATAAAACTTGTGAATAGTTTTCAATACCAGATATTCTATGATTCTATGATTCTAATAGAAGATAATAGCATCATGGAAATAAAATACATTCTAAATAAGCGGCCACTTTTCTAGTTCAGCAAACAGTATTATTAATGTAAGATTGCTTTTGGAGGTGTCACAAGGTTCAGAGAACAAGAAGGAGTATTCTCATGTATTTACACATACTGAATTCACTTAGACTAAGTCACTGTTACCTTTCTCTGTGAAATAATTTTCCTTATTTTCTTCCGCTAATACAACTATGCTTTGCAAAGCAGAGATTGCCAAGTTCGTAAGTTGGTTTTATTGCGTTTATCTGTGATTGTGGTAGCTCATAAATCTGCCAATTATATCTAAAAGAACAGCATATTGTCAGTTGGAATGGGCACTCGATAAGCAATAAGGCGTAATCTTCATTTCATGTCTGTAAAAAGTCTTTTCCTGAGAACAACTGTAATGAAAGGCTTCAAGGAATGCAACCATGTGTAAGGAGTCAGACACAAAAGCCAGAGTCCTAGGTGTTGAAAATGAACTACTTAACTCCCTCGGGAAGGTGAAAATCACACTGCTAAGCGCTATGTAAGGCGGTATTATGAAATCAGGACAGAGTACAGTAAAACCCCTGAAAACGGGTCAGTGGACTTCTGATAAGCTCTCTTCATTTATGTTGGATGTGAGAAGGAAAAAGAGGAAGGGGAGGGAAGCAAACATATTAATATATAACTCGGGACTCACCAATTTTGGCCAAGCTGGCCACAAGTATCCAGAGTGTAATGACATAAGGGTCCTTCACGTGATCCCATCGGAAAGAGACGATCGCAAAGCTCTGAGGATGGCTGTTATTTGTAGGGCTTCCCGAGCTTCTCTCTCCTAGCGCTGCTGGGAGATCCATCAGTCCCAGGAGGAACCCCATTCTAGAGACCTCTCTCATCTCCAAGCCACACAACAAAATCCTGTTTCCCCTTCGCGGAGAAATCCCTCCTCTTCGGAGGTCCTTGGGGGCGAGGTGCTCGTCTCCTCGCACAGACGCTCTGGTAGAGCGGGTCCCGTCCCGCCACCGTCGGCACGGCTGCACGGCCGGCCCTGGTGCTTCTTTGCAAGAAAGTGTCAGGGGCTCTGGACATAGGCAGATGCTGCGAGTTGGGTTCCTGCTGCTTTCCCGCACCTGCCTTTATCAAGCCGCTCCAGATCGGTCGGAGGCGGAGCTTTTGTGACTCCGTGGAGGCAGCGGTGCTGCCCCTTAGCTGAGCACCTTTCGGGATCAGCAGAGTTCCGCTCCGCCGAGGCGGCGATAGAAGGCTGGGTTGTGGGTTGTGCCAACCGCCCCGACTCGGCTCCGAGCACATGGGGGTTGGAAAGAAGCGACCTTGTGCTCTCGGTGCTAGGGGCCAAGGCTGGGGCGCTTCCGCACACACGTCCAAGGCGGAGCCCAGGATCCGTGCTCAACTCGGGCTGGATGAGGAGATTCGTCCTGATGCCTTTGAGGTATAGCGAAACGGGTCAGCCGCTCCGTCAGACGCGGTACTAATAGTACTCCCAAAGGGAGTGCATTTTTTTCTGCTGTTCAGCTTCAAACCGCCTTCGGATCTGGTTCGCTGAGCTTTCACTTCTGTCCACCAGGGAGCACCTCTGCCGGCAGTACTCGAGGATATTACACCAACAAGAAAGGTTTGACTTTCTGTTCAGATTTGCTTGCAGCTCTTTGTTGAGAAGTACTGTATTAAAGATACTCCTTGCCTTCTCTCCCTGTTCTTTTTTTATTTGTTACAACGTGAAATCTTTTAGAAGGTTGTTGCCTTTCCCCAGAGCCTTGCTGATAACATTTGCCTGATGTCCGGGGCAGTGCATACTGCATGCCAGCAGCACATGATATTCATCACTCTGAAGTAAAAAGACAGCAAAGCAGCATGGTCCTAGCACACTGCACCTTTCTACACACTGTGGCAACATCTCTAACCTCTGTTGCATTCCCTGAAGCATTCCAACTGCCCCATGCTATCCACCCCTTAAGTTACCTATTCAGGAAAAAGATTACCTGTTTCACTTATGTAACAAGAAGGTTGGTCAGGAGATTACAGATGAACAGGATAAGGTCTCCATTAAAATGTTCAGAAGGTAAAGAAATAACTTTGATTATTTCAAACATTTGAGAGAAAAGCTATGTACTTTTTGGAAATCCAAGTGAGCTGTTGTAAAGCCCTCTATAAATCAATTAACTGGTAAATTTGAACAATCTGGCATGGAATGCCATTGTTACAAAGGGTGTCTTTCACTATTACATAATCTAACTCATCTCGGGAAGTCAAGGAATGAAGTTTTTAAATATTAATTCACTGAAGATTTGCTTGTTATTACTTGTTATTATACTAGCTGTGTATTGGGCCCTCTCCAAACAGTGAAGAATCTTGTTTTTCATTGTTTCTTCATTATTTAAAAAAAAGGAAATTATGTGGGATTTTTTTAGCCTGGGTAACAATCTGAAGCTAAAACATGCAATGTATTTAGGAAGCATGACTGACAGTAAAATATTTTCTTTACATTAGGGTATATTGTAGTCAAAGACGTGAAGAATTATTCCATATCTAACAACTAAAATCCTACCTATATTGTTTTTATCTTACTCAGTATCAGATAGATACCCAAATGTCCTTTAAGAATCTGGGCCCATGTTTTCTCAAAGATTCTAAAAGGGCCCTGAAGTGCTGCCATTGGAGAAACAGAACTAGGATTGGAAGTGTGTAGGTCTGTAATTGTTGCTGAGACCTGTGGATAGTAGTAGTTCCTAACTGTTAAGGCCAGTTCTATTTGTTGATATTAGAAGAACAATGAACAAGCTGGCAACACTGTTTTTATTATCTCAGCATCTTCCACATCCTACCATACTACAGTTAAACACACCATTCTAGCTTCAGCTGATAAATGGGAACCACAAATGCTGCAGGGTCCCATCTTATAAATGTAATTCTTCCCAATTCTAGTCCCACAAAATAACAAGTGGTTTAGAAATAAACCATATTACTGAAAAAAAAAAAAAAGAGAAACCTTTTCCACAATTTAAAGAAATTCTGACATTTCACTTGAAACAGCTGCAGCCAACATCATGTCATGATTGCCCTTATGTACTGTACAGCTCATGACAGTAGTGGAGGCTCAGTAACTAAGTTAAATCAGGGTTCTGATATCGCTGGTGGAGGTAAAGAAGTATATTAGCAAACAGGAAAAATGATGGAAATGCTGTCAGCACAAACGAGATAGTGTTAATCTGCTCATCAGTTGGCAGTATAATGTCCAGTCATAATTTTAGAATTTGTAATAATCATTGAAAACCTTTGGTCTAAAACAATCACAGAAGTACATAATTTTTCTTGCTATAAAGTCCTTACAAAACATGGTCTACAACACAGTTAAAATGCCAACATTGTATTTTTTAAGCAATAAACTCATGATTCAAAGTGTAATTGTGAAATTTGCCCTATTGTCCAATGGCCCATGGATATTTTCAAGATGTTTGGATACCAAATTGCTGTGCATATCAGAATTCTTGTGCAATTCATTAGTATGTTAGAGTAACACAGAGCAGGCAGAGAAAGGAACCAGTAATTATGGATCATATGTAGGTACTTCAGTACATACTGAAACAACAGCCCATATGTATACTTATGTGAGAATGTATACTTGTGGATGAATACATTTGCATTTATGTATTTATTCACAGATTCCATTTTCTTGAAGATTCTGTGTGAAATCCCTTAAGTAGTTTCATAGAATCACAGAATGGCCTGGGTTGAAAAGGACCACAGTGCTTACCCAGTTCCAACCCCCTGTTATGTGCAGGGTTGCCAACCAGCAGACCAGGCTGCCCAGAGCCACATCCAGCCTGGCCTTCAATGCCTGCAGGGATGGGGCATCCACAGCCTCCTTGGGCAACCTTCCTCCTCATATCCAACCTAAACCTCCGGTCTCAGTTTAAAACCATTCCCCTTGTCCTATCACCATCCACCCTCACAAACAGCCGTTCCCCCTCCTGTTTCTACGCTCCCTCCAAGCACTGGAAGGCCACAATGAGGTCTCCCACAGCCTTCTCTTCTCCAAGCTCAACAAGCCCAGTTCCCTCAGCCTTTCCTCACACAGAGCTGCTCCAGCCCTCTGCTCATCTCAGTGCCTCCTCTGGACCCGCTCCCAGAGCTCCACGTCCTTCCTGTGCTGGGGCCCCAGGCCTGGACGCAGCGCTGCAGATGGGGCCTCACAAGAGCCGAGCAGAGGGGGACGATCACCTCCCTCTCCCTGCTGGCCGCCCCTTTTTCATGCAGCCCAGAACACAGCTGGCCTTCCGGGCTGCAGGCGCACACTGCTGCCTCATGGCCAGCTTCTCGCCCACCAGGACCCCAAGTCCTTCTGCGCAGGGCTGCTCTCAAGGAGATCTGCCCCCAGTCTGTATCAATACCTGGGGTTGCCCCAGCACAAGTGCAGCACCTTGCACTTGGCCCTGTTGAACCTCATTAGGTTTTCGTGGGCCCACTTCTCCAGCCTGCCCAGCTCCCTCTGGATGCTTCCTTTCCCTCCAATGCATCGACTGCACCGCTCAGCTTGGTGCCATCTGCAGACTTGCTGAGGCTGCACTCGATGCCATCGTCTGTCACTGATGAAGATGTTGAAGAGCACCGGTCCCAAGACCGACCCCTGAGGGACACCGCTGGTGACCGGCCTCCACCCTGACACAGAACCATTGATCACAGCCCTTTGGCTGCATCCAGCCAGCCAGTTCCTAATCCATCCAACTGTCCATCCTTCAAATCCACACCTCTCCTATCGAGAGAGAAGGATGTGGTGGGATCATGTCAAAGGCTTTGCAGAAGTCCAGGAAGATGACATCCCCCCATTTCCCGTGTTTTCATTCTGTGTCAGCAACAAAAAGCCTGAGCTGAAATAATGTTTGTAATAAATATAACAAATCACACAATGGCTGATATTTCCTGACTCTCTCACAGGATTGCAAAAGGAAGATTTTTAGTTTGAGTTTTGAGTGATTTTTTTTCTAACTAGAAGATCTCCAACATGGTTGCTTTTAGAAATATTTTGTAAATAATCACTTAGAGAAAAGAAACAGGAGTACCCTGTACACCCTTCATGTGGTCTATGCATGGTAAAAATAAGTTCTTATGGATTTTTTTAGTGTTGAGGTAAAAGATAATTTCAGTTTAAAACAAATAAAAATAAATAAACAACCAGAGTGAAGTATTTCAAATGTTATTAGTTTTCTCTAGAAAGCGCACACTGAAAAATGCAGTTGCTCAAGGGCTGCTCTGAAATTAATGCCTTCTCTTTTTATTATCTTTGCCCATTGCATTACGGGCAGATGCTGTTGGCATGGCAGTAGAGGTTGAAACTTTCTGCTAATTTTCTATTACATCTTGGTGCTGTGTGACAGATGGCAGCAGAGGGTCAGTGTGACAAATTGGCATCTAACGTGGAAGTCTACACAAAGAAAAGATGTATAATTAAACTCCTCATTGTGGAAATAATTGCTCCCACTGGCATTCATCAACTTGCTGAATATATATGGACACCAAAGTGGATGTTAGCACAGTGAGGCAGTGAGTGGTGCATTTCACCTCCTCTGGTGCCAATTTTTACAAGTGCAGCATGCTGGCTCTTGTCCACCACTAACAAAAATGCATAGCCAATGCTAGTGACTATATTAGAAAATACTGTTTAGTAACTGAGAATTTGCTCTATCAAGTAATATTATTTTGCTCTTTGTATTTGTTGCAGTTTCCATGGAAATAAACAGGAGGCACTGCTTTTGGAGCTACCTAAGTACTAACTTCAGAAGCAGAAGTTATAATTAACTTGCAATATTAGTATTTATAAACAAATGTGCTTAAGCTAAGATGAAATTAGGAAGCACATTCCTGTGAAACTGTGAGCTTTCATAAAGGAAAATAAATATAAGTAGA